GTGTGGGTCGCGGCGGCGATTCATCAGTGTCACAGTCATGGCGGCCCGGGCCGGACGGGTCTCGGTGGCGCGCCGTGCCGTGCCGCGGCGGCGGGGGAGTCTTGGTGGCGCTGGCGCTACCCTGGCCGGTAACGCAGGTGGACAGCGCGACGACCTCTGCAGAAAGTGACACGACGTCGCCGTCCACGCCGCCGCCGCACAGTGGGCCAGAAGACCGGTGGGGGCGGCCGCAACTCTACACGCTTTTTGAGCTCCGGAGTGGGTAAATGGGACTCGAACCTAACGTGTGACCCCACCAATGGCTTGCTCTCCGAACGAGGAATCCATTGGTGGGGTCACATGTTCGGTTCGAGTCCTGTTCAGCGATTCTGGAGTTCAAAACGCGTCTAGAATAGAATTTTAGCCGCCCCCACCGGTCCTCTGGCCCACTGTGCGCCGCCGCAGCAGTCTCCGAGAGTTGTTTCCGTCACCCTGTCTCTCTCGCACTCATGGGTCACACCGTGTAGGTGCGAGGGAGACAGAGCGACGAATCAGTCTGCTGGACCAACACGACGGCGTCATCGCCATGTAATACCTTAACCGCCGCTGTGTGACCAGCCGAGCGATTCCGTCACCCGCGCACTTCTCCCTCTCTCTCTCTCTCTCTCTCTCTCTCTCTCTCTCTCTCTCTCTCTCTCTCTCTCTCTCTCTCTCTCAGACCGTTACGGCACACTCCGTGAGTGCGAGAGAGACAGAGCGGGCGGACTGAAGAGTGCGCTTGGGGCGAATATGAGCCGCCAAAGCGTGGGCGACGCGGAGAATTCGACTCGCCGCCTCCTCTCCTCCAAGCACCCCAAGTGCGTCGTCGTCTGGCGGCGGCGGCGCGGCGTCGCGTCCGACTCGGCCTTCATCTCGTCGTTATGGCCACTTTGCGCGGCCAGTAACGGCACGGCGCTTTATAGAGCGGCACTGTCCCGCCCAGATTGATTTCGCCCCGCCTCCGCCTTCGCCGCGCTCATCAAGACCCTCCACCGCCACCGCGGCCGCGGACCGCGTCGCCGCGAGTCGCCGCGAGGGACCGCATCGCGGCGTGTTGCGCCTGCAGACCGATTCCGAGAGTCGTTTCCGTCGCTCTGTCTCTTTCGCACTCACGGGGGCGTCCCGTACAGGTGCGAGAGAGACAGAGCGACGACAACGACTCCGTCTGCGATTCGGCGCGCGGCACGCCGCTTTTGCCTGGCACTGTAAGGGAAGGTGGGGTACCATGTGACACGGCCACCATGTGACATTGGCTTTTTCTCCCAAACGGCTCGCTATCCAACAGCGGTAAGAAGACTCAAAGGAAGGTATCAAGAAGGGGCATCGACGTCGAACAGGCCGTGACTGTGCGTCGAACAGGGCGGAAAGTAGAGACACGAGAAATTTTTACCCCCCCAAAACAGGTAATTGGAATTTGTTTCTATTTCACGCCGCGTCCGCTTTTCACCTTTTAAACACACTTAAACGGCCTATGCCTTGCAGGATGTTCTCCTTTGATGTTTTAAGCGTAAAATAAGCTTGGGCTCGCTTCTCTATCGCAAGGGATAAGGGCGCAGTTGTCAATTCCTCGAAAGCCACCCCTTCGGTCACGATGTGACACTCGATGTGGGGCACGATGTGACACCTTCTCTAATCCGCGATTTTCCTGTTTTCCCCAATAAGTCCTGCTTTTGTGTGTTGTAGGCGTGGGATATTACACTAACCCTTGTGTGAATGTGTTTGAGAGAGGTTAGGGGTGGCTGGGCGTCTCTGGGGGCTCGAAGGCAAAGCCTAGCGCCGCCTGGTGGCCAGGTTTGGAACTACAAAGGAGTTGGCCTCTGCAGACGACACCCATGGCCGGGCGCGGGCCGGGCCGACCTGCAGACGGTACACTGAGAATGAATGGGTCACCACCATCACCCATTAATGGGTGATGCAACTTCGTTGCCCAATTTTAGGTGACGAAAAAATCATCACCCGAAATTTGGTAACAGGCGTTCGGTCGCCCAAATTTGGGTAACGCCGTCGACGACGCCGGCCGGGGCCAGCACGATGACCGGAGGCCTCAACGCCACATTGGATCATCGTGGTGGCCCCGGAAGTACGTCATCGGGGACGTCACGGCGTCGTCGACGGCGTTACCCAAATTGGGGTGACGATTTTATGACTGCCAAAATTTGGTCACCGCTGGCTCGTCACCCAAATTTGGGCGACGATGCGTGCGACAAAAATAAGTTGACTTTTTAAAATAAATTGTATTTTGATTAACATAGATGTGTTTCCTTGCTTTCCTAACCATTTTTGAAATACATCTACGAATATTTCCATTGAAAAACAGCAATTTTTACACATTAGTCTGAGGTGTCACATGGTGCCCAGGGGCTGTCACATGGTGAACTCAGTGGTACACCATGTGACATTTTACATGCACCCAATCAAACTTGGATACCTTCGCAACCAATCGAGGTAAAATGAAAAAGCTCAACGGGACTTTGAAGCTAAGGGACCCCTCTTTGTCGGCACGAGCAGTATGGATCCGTACAATTGTTAGTTTCGTGTTGGCGGGCATCCGCCTAAAAGTGTCACATGGTACCCCACCTTCCCTTACGTGGCGTAATGACTGCGGCCGGAGCGGGCGCGGCGGCGCCCCACCCCGCCCACTTGTTACGCCCGGGGCACTCCATGTGGTGCCCGGGGCAGGCGTGGCGGCGCCCAGAGGCCAGCGCTGCCGCCCGGAGTGGCCCGGGGCGGCCCAGCCAGCAGACTGATTCCGGGAGTCGCCGTCGTCGCTCTGTCTCTCTCGCACCCATAGGGACGCCCCATGAGTGCGAGAGAGACAGAGCGACGAAAACGACTCTCGGAATCAGTCTGCTGACCGCCATGGCGCGCCATCCGCATAGCTTCCGAGCTCTTCCTCTTCCGCGAGGGCCGCGGCCCGGCCGGCCGGCCGGGGCCTAATGGCGCACGAAATTGATAAAGCCCTTCCGGAGGGCCGCCCCGCCCGGCCGCGCCGTCTCTCTCGCACCCACTACACTGGGCGGACGGCCCACTCGTGCGAGGGAGACGGAGCGACGTCCTGCTGACCGAGGCCCTGACAGTGCCCCTCACGGCGCCGCCCGGCGCCGCCGCAGTATCCGAAACCGAATGACCGGCCGAACTCGCCAAGTTAGATTTAGTTGTGAATCGGGTGGGCCGTTTCATTCTGGACCATTTCGTTTTTTCGGCCTTGGTCCTTTTCTGGCAGTTGTGCCCACGCGCACAGTGGGCCAGACGACCGGCAGGCGAAACCTCTAGACGCGTTTTGAACTCCAGAATCGCTAAACAGGACTCGAACCGAACGTGTGACCCCTAGTGTTCCGCATTGGGCGGGTCGCTTCGGGTTCTGTGAAAATTCGACCGCAGCGCTGCACCGCGACGTGTCATCGAAACTAAAAAACCGAAGTGGCTCCGAAGTGCCGCCGAAGACACGGCTTGGACATCGGCTGGCTCGGAAGCAGCCCCTCCTCGCCCCTCGCCCTGCATGTGACACAAACCGTCCCGACAGGTGCTGCCCTCTAGTCGGCAAAAGTAGCCAAGACGATCGGGTTGACGGCCGCCCGATGCCGTCCGAGCCGCTTGCTCATCGGGCGGGCCGGATCGGGCCGTCGACTGTCAGCGCCATCGGGCGGTGCAAAATCGTACGACCCGCCCGATGCGGAACACTAGTGACCCCACCAATGGATTCCTCGTTCGGCGAGCAACCCATTGGTGGGGTCACACGTTCGGTTCGAGTCCTGTTTAGCAACTATGGAGCTCAAAAGGCGTCTGGAATTTTGGCCGCCTCCACCGGTCTTCTGGCCCACTGTGCGACCCGGTCCGGCAACTATACGAACTTGGCGGCCCACCGCCTTGCCTTGCAGACCTTCCCGGTGTAGACCGAGGGGACCGACACAGTGCCCCGTCGCGCAAACCCGCCAGCCGCGCCAGCTAGAGAGACCAAACGAGCGGACTTGGCTGTCCGTTTGTCCGGAAAAAAACGAAGGTGCGAGCTTCGGCTCGTTCGGCTCCGTTTCGTGCCGACCGGGGGCGGACACGGCAAAGCTCCCCAGGCTCGGACGCCGAAGGGGCCCCGAAGAGCGGCCGACGGGTCGCTCGGAGCCGAACGACAGCCGCTAGAAACCTTTGACTACCAGACAGCACCTGTGGGGGAGGGTTTTGTGACAGCTGCTGGGGGGGGTAGGGGGGGGTCTCTATTGGATGCTTCCGAAAAAAGCGGGTCGATCCGGAAACGAGGTTTCAACGAGCGTTCGGTGACGAGTTCGGGTATCTTCGGCAGCCGAAAAATGCTTCGGCTCGCAACACATGCCGAAGCCGCCGACAGCAGTGTCCGCTCATTTGTCTCTCTCAGTGCCAGCCTCGGCGCCAGCCCATTCACAACTTTTGTTTATGGGATTCATAATGCGGCCCTAAGCAAGGAGCCAGGAAGGGGGCTGCCGGCCCCCACGCCCCAGAAGCCCCTCCGGCGGCCCGGAGGGGGGGGGGCGTGAAATTTAGGCAGGAAAGGCGTGTGGCAATGTGCGCAGCCTTGACGCAGTCTTAAAGCGCCATGCCTCAGGTGGTACACGAGGAGCGCATCCTTCTTGTTGTTGCCCAGCACCCTCCAGTGGCGGGTCTAGAGGCGGCCAGGGGGTGGCGGAGTAGCTCTTTTTGCCTACTAGCAGGGGCAAAGTATGGCTGTTGGCCTTCATTTCCGGCGGCTACCTAAGGGTCATGGGGGTGGGGGACAAAAGCCCCCTTTCCCCTGTGTCCCAGCCTGCACCCTTCCTGGAGCCGAGGGATGGGGGAGGCGGGCTCGAATTTCCCAGCGCCATCATTTGAGTGGTGGCCGCGCCTGCCGAGTCCTGGACCTTGTCCTGGCGCCGGGGCCGGCGGGACGGACCCTGCCCGAGTCGGGCCGAGACTGGGGCGGCCCGGTCTCATTAAGGGGGCCGGGACAGCAACTTGTCAGGCCGGGCCTGCCTCACCTGGAACGGGTAGATGATGACGAAGTAGCGGTCGATGGCGATGGAGGTGAGCGTCAGCGTGGAGATGTACACGCTCGTGCCCTGCGCGTAGGTGACCAGGTGGCACATGACCTGGCCGAACACCCAGCGGCCCACGAACGAGTAGAGCGGCGTGAAGGGCACGGCCAGGATGCAGAGCAGGATGTCGGACAGGGCCAGGTTGGTGATGAAGAAGTTGGTGACGGTCTGCATGGCGCGGTTGCGGCCCACCACGTAGCAGACGAGCACGTTGCCGAACACGCCCAGCACGAAGATGGTGGTGTACAGGATGCAGAAGAAGGCCTGCACGGCCGGGTACGTGATGACGTCATCGTCCTCGCAGTTGTCGCCGCAGTTGTCGGGGTGCGCCGAGGCGTTGACGGCGCTGCCGTTGGCGGTCTGGTTGAGGCCGTGCACGGCCTGCAGCACGAGGCCCGGGCCGGCGGACGGCAGCACGCCCGCCATGGTCGTCATGACGGTCTACGTGGTGGCCGGGCTAGGCCGGGGCCTGGAACAGAGAAGCGTTCAAACAGGGATCAGCTTCCAGAAGAAGAAGTGTCACATTGTCTCCGCGCCTCCTCGGGCATTCTCCTCACTCGAACTCGAAACGGCCCAGAATGTTGCCGTCGGCGCTCTGCGACGCGGGGCGTGGGAGGCCTCGGGCCGGTCGTTCCACGCCGGCTGCAGCGCGGCCCTGGCCGAGGCCACCGAGGCCGCCGAGGCCGTGTGGCGTGACATCGCGCCCTTAGCAATAACCGCCCCGCTTCCATCCTGTCCCGGCCGATAAAGGGGAAGGGCCGATAAATTGGCGATCATCGGACGACTCGGAGCGTCGGGCCGTCAGGACGGGGTGAATGCCTGGGGCCATGAGGCGCGCCGAGCCCAGGCGTGCCAGGTCGCTAGACCAGGGCGTACCAGGCCGGAGCGTGCCAGGCTGCCAGGCCGGGCGTGCCAGGCCGGGGCGTGCCAGGCCGGGGCGTGCCAGGCCGGGGCTGCCAGGCCGGTGGCGTGCCAGGCCGGGGCGTGCCAGGCCGGGGCGTGCCAGCCGGGGTGCCCAGGCCGGGGCGTGCCAGGCCGTGGCGTGCCAGGCCGGGGCGTGCCAGCGTCCGGGGCGTGCCAGGCCGGGGCGTGCCAGGCCGGGGCGTGCCACCGGGCATGCCAGGCCGGGCGTGCCAGGCCGGGGCGTGCCAGGCCGGGGCGTGCCAGGCCGGGGCGTGCCAGGCCGGGCGTGCCAGGCCGGGGCGTGCCAGGCCGGGGCGTGCCAGGCCGGGGCGTGCCAGGCCGGGGCGTGCCAGGCCGGGGCGTGCCAGGCCGGGGCGTGCCAGGCCGGGGCGTGCCAGGCCGGGGCGTGCCAGGCCGGGGCGTGCGGCGTGGCCCACGACCGCACTGGGTGGAAAATGGATTAGCAGCCGGTGGTGGGAACCGCGTGCGGTACCCGTGGCCGGCGTGGCGGCGCCCTCACCACCCGCCCGTTCCCGGACGACGACGGCGACGCGCTGAATATTCAGCCACTGTGGCGCCTCGGCATCCTCGACCCGCCCTCGACCCGGAGTGTCGCGGAAAGTTATCTGTTGGCCGCCCACGACGACGCCGACGAGGCCGAGGCCGCCGAGGACGCGGGCCGCTCCACCTCGTCCCTGATTTGCATAGCCCGCCGTCGGCCCGGGGCGGCGCTCTGCAGACTGATTCCGAGCGTCGTTTTCGTCGCTCTGTCTCTCTCGCACTCATGGAGCGTGCTGTATGGGTGCGAGAGAGACAGAGCGACGAAAACGACTCTCGGAATGTGTCTGCTGGCGGCGCTATGGCGGCGCGCTGCCGGAGAAACCCGAGGAAGTGGGGAAATTGGGCCGGATGTGTGTGCGGATGGCGCTCCCCGTATTCGCGGAGTTACCTGTGGCCTCCGCCGCACCCTCCACCGCGCCCTCCACCGCGCCCTCCACCGCGCCCTCCACCACACCCTCCGCCCCGCCCTCCGCCGCGCCCTCCACCACGCCCTTTACAGCACCCTCCACCACGCCCTCCACCGCGCCCTCCACCACACCCTCCACTACGCCCTCCACCACACCCTCCACCACGCCCTCCACCGCGCCCTCCACTACGCCCTCCACCACACCCTCCACCACGCCCTCCACCGCGCCCTCCACCACACCCTCCACTACGCCCTCCACCACACCCTCCACTACGCCCTCCACTACGCCCTCCGCCGCATCCTCCGCCGCGCCCTCCACCGTAAGACTGCTCCCGTGGTTGCCGCGGGGAAGACCGGGGAGCGCAGAGTGCGTCGACAAAATTCCGCTGGCTTTGTTAGGTTTCTCTTTCACTCTCGATCCAGTGATAAAAATTCATCAGAGAAAACGAAATTTCAGGATTAAATAACGTCCAGGACGCGCGGTCCCTGCCTTTACCTGCGGGTAACGGAGTCCCCCGGGCCAACTCTGGCAGAAGGAAAATCTTTCAGCTTTGCCTTTTATTTTATGTAAAAGGATAAAGCTGCGAGAAAATTCCGGTTTTACGGCGCGCGCAGCGCTTTGAGGTGCGGAGTTAGTTTGCAGGGAAAAGGCGCGAAAAAGGCGGCGTGGTAATTCGGGGCGAGCGAAGAACCGTGCCAGGCGGCCCGCGCCGCTAGCCATCTCGCGGCACGCGCCGTGGACTGATTCCGCGAGTCGCTTTCGTCGCTCTGTCTCTCTCGCACTCATGGGGCGTTTCTTAAAGGTGCGAGAGAGACAGAGCGACGAAAGCGACTCTCGGAAGTCTTGCCGCTGGATAGCGCACTCTAAATGTTCTACAGTGAAGATTCTCCATATATGGTGAAAATGTTCCATATATGTGGTGCAGCTGACTTCGTAACATACCATCGAGAATTCACTGTACCTTATGGAGTTTCACGAATTTCGTTGGTATTATGGAGAAAATCTCCACCATATTATGTAGGTGCAGCCTTTCACCGTAAGACATTTACTGTGCGCACGCGGTAAAGAGGGCAAATGAGAGAAGTTGCGCCAATCCGCCGGCCGAGCCTCTATCTCCCGCACGCGCGGTCCGAAAACAAACAAAAGCCGAAATGAAGGTACACCCGAAGTTACGCGGCCGTCGCTGTAGCCAACTGGAGTCCGGCCGTTCAGCCGGCGAATCGTCGGACCAGCAGGTTGATTCCGTCACTCTCTCCTCTCTCTCTCTCTCTCTCTCTCTCTCTCTCTCTCTCTCTCTCTCTCTCCCTCTCTTTGTACGGGACACACCCTGAGTGCGAGAGAGACCGCGCGACGAAAACGACTCTCGGAATCAGTCTGCGGGTGCCGCCCGCTACGCGTGCCTCGCGTGCCTCTGCGGTGCCGCGCGGCCCTTGGCCCAGCAAGGCAAGGAGGAAGTCACAGGGAATGCGCAACGATGGCGCCAAACAGACGCAACGGCCGGCAAGGGGTTGCTCCACGTCCACGTCGTTCCGCGTCGTCCGCGGTGCAGCGGCTTGTGATGAATAAATGAGCGGGCGAGTTAGTCGGCGCCGAGCACGTGGCGCTCTTACCTCGCTCGTTTACCTCGCCCGGCAAGGCAGGGCCGCCAGGGCACGGCGACGTCTTTGGCGGAGGCCTTCCCTCGTGGAGCGTTCACTGGCGCACAGTGGGCCAGAAGACCGGTGGAGGCGGTCAAAATCCCGTACGCGTTTCGAGCTCCAGCGTCGCTAAATGGGACTCGAACGGAACGTATGACCCCACCAATGCATTGCTCTCCGAACGAGGAATCCATTGGTGGGGTCACACGTCCGGTTCGGGTGACGGTTAGCGACTCTGGAGCTCAAAACGCGTCTGGAGTTTGGCCGCCTCCACCGGTCCTCTGGCCCACTGTGGGGCCGCGGCCGTCGTGGAGGCCTTCCCGCCGCGCTGCCGCCATTCGAGCGGCACAAAAATGGGCAAGATAATAATTGGACCGTTCTCCTCGGTTCCCTTCGGCTCCCTTCGGCTGGCCGGGCTGCGGGCTGCGCGCTGCGCTGGTAATAAACTTGGCCGCCCCCCGGTGCGCGGCGCGGCGCTGCGCCCCAAAAGAAGTGTTTGATGGTGTACTGTTGCAGGACGTACCCTTCTTGCTTCTGGCTGCTTTCTGGCGGGGGTCGCGCGCGGTTTTCATCACCATTCCCCCTCCGCTTTCTGTCGCCGCGTTTCCCGTGCTGGGTTAGTTGGCTCGGAGACAGTGCGTCCTTGACGGCGGACTCGTCGACCTGCAGGCTGATTTCCCAGAGTCTC